AGCCTGTTTCAGTCTGTGAATCCCTCTCTCTCTGACCCTCCCCTGCTCATGCTGTCTCTCTCTCTCTCTCCTAGGAAAAAAAAAAAAAAAAAAGTCAGACGCTTAACCAACTGAGTCCCCCAGGCACCCCCTCTAATATGGAATTCTTTGGCCACCTTGTTTAATGCACTGGGGCTGCAGAGCCTGAGGCCACACGGTTGGTGCAATGATGGGAACACAGCCTGAGATGATGGCTCACCGGCATCTCTCCCCTGGCCCCGTGCCAGCCAGGAGAGAGGCTGTCCTGAAGCTTGTAACGGAGTGCAGCTTGGGTTTGTTCGTTCAGCGTTCCTGAGCACCCACTAAATCCTGGACACTCTGGTGAGCGTGCTGTGTGGTGGGGCAGCCGTTAGCCACGTGCTGCTACTTACATTAATTACAATGAAGCAAAATGAAAATTCAGTTCCTCAGTCACGCTAGCCACATTCCTTTTTCTTAAATTTTATTTTTAGTGTTTATTCATTTTAGAGAGAGAGAGCACAAGCAGGGGGAGGGACAGAGAGAGAGGGAGACGTAGAATGTGAAACAGGCTCCAGGGTCTGAGCTGTCAGCACAGAGCCCAACGTGGGGCTCGAACCCACGAACCATGAGATCATGACCTGAGCCGAGGTCAGATGCTTAACCGACTGAGCCCCCAGGCACCCACACATTAGCCACATCCCAAGTGCTCGTTAGCCACAAGTAGCCCGTGGTCGCTGCAACAGAACCACAGAAGGAAGCACTTTCACTATCCCATTTCTGTGAGGCAGCACTTGACTGTAATCTCACAGCATGCAGACAGAGCCCTTGTGAGACAGTGGTTAAGAATATGGCCTGTGGGGTCAGATCTGGGTTGGGATCCCAGCGTCACCACGGAACAGTGAGGGATAAAGGAGGTGACACTTTCCACATGCAGTCATTGCGGTGTGTATGGTCACCATCATGTTCATTAGAATTATCCTCCGCATCGTTGCTGTTACTAGAAGGTGAGGTGTGTACACCATCCAGACAGGCTTTCCATATTCAATTAGAGGAGTACAGTTGTTAGTTCAAATACATTTTTTTAATGTGTGTTTTTTGGGTTTTTTTAGAGAGAGAGCGTGAGTGGGGCAGGGGCAGAGAGAGGGAGATGCAGACTCCAAAGCAGCTCCAGGCTCTGAGCTGTCAGCACAGAGCCCGACGTGGGGCTCAAACCCACAAACTGTGAGATCATGACCTGAGCTGAAGCTGGATGCTTAACCAACTGAGCCCCCCAGGTGCCCCTCAAGTACATCTCTGATCTATCCTGCAGAATTGTAGGACTGAGGTAGATTTGACGAGTGGGAAGTAGAGCCAGCCCTTCCCGAAAGTAACTACAATACAGTTGCTGTACTCCAGCAGAGAGGAGCTGGCTGACTGCTTTAGGGGATGTATTTGTTTAAGATATTCCCACCAAGAATCTCATTATTATGAAGCCTTTTATTGCCAGCTGGGTCCTGGAATAGAAGCAGAGGCACCAGCCATGGCCAAATCATTAAGACAAATTAAGACATATTAACATATGCTGGAAACAATTACCTACATAGATTTAATTTGTTTCACTGCTGGAAGAAAACCTGAAGAGAGCACAGAAAACATAGCCCAGAACAGTTCCGCAGCTGCCCTGCGAGCCTGTCGCTTGTCAGCACCTTTGGGGCTGGGAGCCGCTGAAATTAGACATTGACTCGAGGCAGGACATCTGAAAATACATCCTCACTTGAGCCAGGGTTCCATGGGCTTATACACGTTAGGGGGAGTTTTGTGGAATTGGTGATTTTCTTTTGTTTTTTATTTTTTTTAATGTTTTTTATTTATTTCTGAAAGAGAGGGTGAGCAGAGGAGGGTCAGAGAGAGGGAGACACAGAATCCAAAGACAGGCTCCAGGCTCTGAGCTGTCAGCACAGAGCCCGACAGGGGGCTTGAACCCATGAGCCGTGAGATCATGACCAGAGCTTAAGTTGGACGCTTAACTGACAGAGCCACCCAGGCACCCCAATTTTATTTATTTTTTTAATGTTTATTTATTTTTGAGAAAGAGAGACAGAGCATGAGTGGGGGAGAAGCAGTGAGAGAGTGAGACACAGAATCTGAAGCAGCTCCAGGCTTTGAGCTAGATGTCAGCACAGAGCCCGACGCGGCGCCCGAACTCACAAACCGTGAGATCATGGCCTGAGCTGAAGTCGGACGCTCAACCAACTGAGCCACCAGGGCGCCCCTCTTTTGTTTTTTAAAATCAACCATTATTGGTATAAATAATTAATTTGATTATGAAAATAATGCAGAGTTCTAAGATGGAATATTCAAGCACATTTTTATATTCATATAATATATTTAGCAAACTTACACGTTTGCATTATTGTCTGTTCTCTTTTTTTTTTTTTAAGAGACTGAAGCGAAATAGGAAATAGTTCATTCATTTCTAAATTGTGGCCTTCAGTGTATCTTGATTTTTTCTTGTTCCTGTTATTTCTCTCAGCATCATTATTTCTCATTGTCTTACGACGAGGAGAAGAAAGTCTTCTCAGCACCGAAGTGCATTTTTCCCCCAGAGAGAGAACAGGGTCTAGCATCAGGGTTATTCTAGAATGTATCTGTTGCGGTATGCGCGTCACATGGGAATGATACAGTCTTGTCCCAGGGCTTGGTGAATGGGCCCTTACTGCATCTTAGGTGGTCGCTAAGTTGGCCAGAATCCCTTCTCTCAAAATACTAGCTTCCGGAAGAGCAGCCAGAGGAGTGTTTGCAGTGAGAGCTGATTTGTTCTGTCATCCTGATGCTGATGAGCTTCCTTCCAGATCGGTCCTGTACATCGATTATGTACAATTATATGTGAGAAGCATAATCTCCCACTTGAAAAAAAACAACAGGTAAGCCTTTTGTAGTGTGAGGAGTAAAAACAAAAGCCACCTGCGCGTGCCGTAACCCACCAACTTACTACCTTTCCCTTGGTGTCTGCCTCACGACAACCTCAATTTCCCCACCGCCCTGCACTTCAGGCTTTGCTGACGGTTACGGGACAAGTCACACATGTTGAAGATTCAAGAAGTCATTTTCTGTGATGATTGATTCACAGTGGGATTCTCGTTTTGGAAATAGGGCAGGGTAGAGTCTAAAACCTTCCCTTTTCAATGTTTATCATTTTTAAGAGAAAAAGAGAGCATGAGTGGGGGAGGGACAGAGAGAGGAGACCCAGATTCTGAAGCAGGCCCCAGGCTCTGAGCTGTCAGCACGGAGCCCAACGCGGGGCTTGAACTCAAAGCTCAGATCATGACCTGAGCCAAAGTTGGACCCTCAACCAACTGAGCCACCCAGGTGCTCTGAAACCTTCCACTGACAGCGTGCTGAAGGATGGTCTGGTTGCCTCACCACTTACGGTCTTCCACATAGGAGCTACCCAGTCAACTGCATCATTTGGCTCCATTTATAGGAGCATCTTCAGTGAAGGGCAGGGGTTTCTAGCAAGAGGGATGTGTGCCACCCCCTCCACAGCTGTGGTTGGCATTCTAGACAGCCCTTTCACTTCCAGATGACATCCAGTCACTTTATGGCCATCCAACACCATTTGAGACTACATACAGCTAACAGTGGGGCCCTGAGTCTCTTAAATTGGAAATTTAAAAATTGGAAAAATTTTTTTATATCCTATTTAAAGTGGATGTTTTAAGTTGTCTCACCATCAGAGCCGTACACAATAAGATGGTTAACCTAGAAGCAGTTTGAAAATCTTGAAAAGAAGAAGAAAATGTACTGGCCAGGATAAATAAGGAAATTACTGTGATTTAGTATTGAAGTTGGCCCTGACTATCTTGAAGCCCCGGCAGTAAGTGGATGATTAAATACATTGTAGTACAGTCACAAGACAGAAGATTATGTGGACATTAAAATTCCCCCAGAGGAATTTATAATAAGAAAATGCTCATAATGCAGTATTAAGAAGAGAGGATTAAAAACTATAGAATTCTCTTAGCTATGTTTACAAAAAAAAAAAATATTGACAGAAAATTCATCAGAATATCAGCTATGACAGATGGAATGCAGTGATTTTATATTCCTTTTTTCAGATTATTCTAATAAACATATATCATTACTTTCATAGTCACACATAAAAGTTTTCTTGGGCGCCTGCATGGCTTAGTTGATTAAGCGTCCAACTTTGGCTCAGGTCACGATCTTGTGGTTCATGAGTTCAAGTCCCACATTGGGCTCTCTGCTGTCAGCACAGAGCCCACTTCAGATCCCCTTCACCACTCTCTCTCTAAAAAATAAACATTTCTTTTAAAAGTTATCTTTTTGGTTGACTCTAAGCTTCCTGACAGAAAAGGCAGAAAGGGAAACAATCATGAGTTTCACAGTGTTCATCACGTGATGAAAGAACTCTCTCCATTCCTCAAGATAAACTTTTTTCTGGATACTTTATTCTGGAAGTGGTTTATCCTGAAGCTGTGAAGTGATGTGACGTACAGTCATTGAAGAAGTTCTCAGAGCAGATGCAGGAGGGGAACGCCTTCTGTCTCATGACCAGCCCCAAGAGCCTCTGGCCACAGGCTGAGGTGGCGGGATTATCGGGAAGGGGAGCCTGCACCTCACCCCTCTTCCGTCTCCTTTCCGTGTTGGCAGTTTTTAAGCCCTTCCTTTGCCCATTGTATCTCATCCAGACACACATCCGAGATGGGCCTAGCAGATGTCAGAGGCCAGCTCTCGGCTCTTCCTTTCACACCTGGAGGATTGAATGCCCACCAGTCCTGGAAGCCAATCTTTAAAAAATTAGTGGAATTTGGGGCACCTGTGTGGCTTAGTCAGTTGAGTGTCCAACTCTTGACTTTGGCTCAGGTCATGATCCCAGGGTCGTGGGATCGAGCCCCATGTCAAACTCTGCCCTCCTTCTACTCTCTCTCTTTCTCTCTCTCTCTCAAATAAAATTAAAAATTAAACAAAAATGTAATTTAAGTTCTCCCCCCTCGCAGGTGTTGCCGCCCTGGATTCCAGCGTATCTGGGAAAATTGGTCTACGCGCTGTTGTCTATTATTTCTGTACCACGATAATTGCTGTGATTCTAGGTAAAATCTATTTCTGATTCCTTACTCTTCTGTATAATTGTGACTCTTCCTTTAAAAGTAGTTGAGCTTTTTTTTTTAATGCACTTTTTTTTAAATCAGAAAGTCCTATTGTCAAAGTACAAGGAAACTTTTGGGCTTCAAGTCTACACAACACCTTTTCTATGAAGAAAATATAATAGTGACCCAAGTTCAGCCAGGGTGCTGCTTATTAACGTCCCTAGGAAGAAACAGAGGGTGATAGTTCTGTGCCTTTATTAGAAGGAAGTGAAGCCAAGAGCTTCTATCATAGTAGAGTTGAGTCTAATTATGAAATATTTCCAAAAAGATAGCAGTTCAGTGCATCTCAAATTTCACATGGTACTGAGAGCTCACAGCAACTTGCCAAGTATAAATTCTACTTAAAAAGGGAGAAAGTTCTAAAAAGGGAATAGAGGCTGCTCCTGTACCGTTGGCATTCTTTTGTGAAGAGAGTGTTGTGGTCCACCCTTTGTGACCTGATGTTTCAAGAAGGCTGCCCCGCGTGGGGAGAGAGGACTGGAACGTACTCAGATGTTGCAGCCGGCGTGAGCCTGCCGCTCCGCATTAACAGATGGTTGGATGCGGCGGGGTGTAGTGCTGGTAGGCAGGGCACCTGGGGGGCCTCAGCCCTGCCTGACACCAAAGCCGCACTCCTCATGAGGTTCCTGAGGGAAGCAGGCATGAAGGGGAAAGCAGGTGCGCCTCTCCTGCCACGCTGAGAGAAGAGGGGACCACACCCACCTTGTCCTCGGATTGCCCTGCTGACTCCTCCCACCTGCAGATCAGACCTGCTCTGGTCCCGACACCCTGCCCGCCGTGGACTGGCATTTCCCTTGGGGGGACCGATAAAGGACACGGAGACTTGCTGCTTCTCCCCCTGCAGTCAAGCAGTCTCTGACACCTTGGTCTGTGCGCCAGCCTCCCACCTCTGCTTGGACACGTCAAAGGACAAGAACCCATTACCTCCAGGGGCCATAATGGTGCCCTCAGATGCTCCTCATTTAGATAGTTCCTTACAGCAAGAACCGTCTCTCCCTGTAACACCTGTCTGTCCTCTCCACCCCGAGAGTCACAGGGAACCATATTTTTCCTAACCCTGACCCTTTTTTGGATTACACAGCAGCCTTCCGGATATCTGAAGGCTTGTGGTATGGAAGGAAGGTAAGGCTTGTTTTGTATGAGCCTCGGGAAAATAACTGGCATCTGGGGATAAAAGTTACATAAAATATTGAGTGGGTTGAAAATGAACTGAGTTGGAAAATGAATCACCCTCACCCCAACCCCTGGCTCGGCTGATCTCATAAACTAAAGAAAAGAAAATAGAATATTCTCATCAGCAAGGGTCTCCAGAACCAATTCTGGAATGCAACCTCTTTGTTTAAATTTTAAAAAAACAAAAACAAGAACCATGAGAAGAGTTCCTTCTGGTTCATTGAAGTGGAAAAATAATCAAGTCTGCCCCCAAGGTCCCAGCTGAGGCTCAGCATTTCGGCTGGACCCTGGAGCCTGCCTTCCAGTTTTATCCAGTGCCACCATGCCTACTGGCTCTAAGAAGGGTACGCCAGGGGTACCAGGTGTTCTGGAAGGTTCCTAATGCTCTGTGGTGCTCTCCTCGGCCACAGGCATCGTGCTGGTGGTGAGCATCAAGCCTGGCGTGACCCAGAAAGTGGATGAGATTGACAGGACAGGAAGCAGCCCTGAAGTCAGTACGGTGGACGCCATGTTGGATCTGATCCGGTGAGTGTTTGGCCAGTGGGGCAGCCCCCCGGGCATGCTGCCTGTGATACTGTGGTCACAGAGGACCACATGCTTGCTTTAATGCAATGCTGTCGCTGTCTTGAAATTGCTGATAGTTTTTGAATCATTGCATGTTTTCATTTTGCCCTGGACCCTGAAATGACACAGCCAGTCCTGCCTGCCAAGCCATGGTTCCAAGGGAGGATGGGAAAACAGGCTCCTCTGTCAGGATTTAGGACAGACGGAGAAGCAGAAAACACACTTGTTGCACCAAGATTCTGTCTGGGCTGGGTTGGGGGGTCAGTTGTGAAGCATACTTGAAGAAATACATTTTTTAATTACACAGGAGAAGGCCTCTTCTCAAAAGCAATCAGGTCTGGGAATTGGTTGGTTACTTTGAAGATAGCAGTTAGAGCAGAGAATCCTTAAAAATGACACAGATGCGCGTTACATATTTTGTCAACACAAAATTTAAACGTGTTTCTTTGCCAGTGTTTGAGGTAGGGCCAGAATCTTTTCTTTCAGTGTGTCTGGTGATTGTGACTCCATTTATTTTTCTTGCACCTACTGCGCTGATAAAGGCATCACGTACAATTTCCAGGTTCACTTTTCACGAAGAGAGCAGCAAACCCCTTAGAAACCATAAAGCAAGCTGAGTGCCGCTTCCTGCCAGTTTTTTCTTTCCATTTCTGTGGACTTTCCAGTCCTAATCAGCCCAAGGAAATCTTAGGCACTGGTTCAGTTGAGTTTCCAAGCACTGAGTTTCGTTTTGATGACAAACCACACCTTCCATCTCACACTCCCCTTTCACTGACTCACATCATTTTTAATTCAGTCATGATGCTGATGTTCTCAGTTGGCATAAAGAATTTGGGAGCGGACGCCGCTGGCTCTCAGTAGGCATACTCTCTCGTCAGTGAAAACAGATACGTACAGGATGTTAAAGGAGTCTCTTAACTGTGAGCGTCCGCCTGCCAGTGCATCATTTCACCGAGGACAGTGAGTGGACCGGTTACTCGGTGAATCAGCTGAGTGACGGTTGTGTAAGAGCGCTTTCGAGACTTGGTTGAAGCTCAACAGGGGGAAAAAATCTTAATACAAGGAAGTGTTTTGCAAAGGAGAAACCAGAAGAGCAACCAGAGTAAGTACTCTGTGTTCCGCTCATGTTCACCCATGTATTGGGTGTGACAGAAACAAAACACTTCTGCCTTAATGCGACACTGCTTTTCATGTCTCCAACAGGAATATGTTCCCAGAGAACCTTGTCCACGCCTGTTTCCAGCAGGTGAGTGAGAACAGTGATTTCTGCCTTCAGATCGGCTCCACTCTTGCTTCGGCGGTTAGGACTGTTGTTCCCTCCTGTGACCCAGGGAGTGGGATAAGCCCATCAAAAATGGTAGAAACACACCCTCAAATGTGAATGCGAAGCAAATGGCAGGTGCTTTGGGCCTCAGGTCCCAGAGAAGTCCCATTGTTACTGACCCCACCCCCTTTCCGTGACACTTCTTTGTCCCCAAGAGGGCTCCAGTGAAGCCACCAGGAACCCGTCCAACAAAGACTGTTTAAAAATGTGGGCTCTTGTGCCTGTTTTTTGGAGAACCAGGTGGGGTTTGTGGAGAAGCTGAGACTGTCTGCAGATGCAGGCACTGAAAAAGGAACCCTTCGTCTCGCTGTCCCTTTCTCCCTCCTGTTGGGAGGGCAGGATCTCACCCTCACGGCTGGTCGGGTGGCCGGTGTCCCCGGTATTCGGTCTTTTCCTTCATCATTACGCATTCGTTGCCGACCCTCCCGCTCCCCGGCGACATAACAAAGCCAGGATTTTTGTCTCTAGGACAGTTGAACAATCTCTTCACTCCCATTTCCTTACAGCCCTTCTCTCTTGTTTATCTGTGCACTTAAGACAGATGAGTCTATCAGAAACTGCTGAATTCATTTACATAAATTACATGAACAGAGACCGCTGTGTGTACCAACAAAATGGCAGTTAAGTTGCTCCCTGCCGACTTCCAAGAGGCACAGAACCACCTCTATTTCAAGGGTGCCTTTGCGGTGCAGCCACAGTGGTCATTTGTGAGCTTCGTGATGGTGGCAGAGCCTCGAAGGAGTGACATTTATGCCTGGCGTCATGGGATACCAGCTCTTTCTTAAACCTCTCTGCTGAAGGCTTGCAGAACCAAACAGCTGAAGGAAGGGAATTCAACAGAAATCTCACTCATGCACTAGCTCTCAAGTGACTGTTGATTTTGGAACAACCATATATTTCTTGACGCTTATTAAAGTCAGGGTGACTACAGTTATCCAAGTAGTGAGGTGTTTCTCCCTGGTTAAAAATAACGAATAAACAAATAGAAACAGAATGATTGCTAGGATCCCTACAGAGTCTGTCTATCTGTTAAAGCAGCACCTCCAAATAAAACCGGTACTTCCGGGGCGCCTGGGTGGCTGAGTCGGTTAAGCATCTGACTTCAGCTCAGGTTATGATCTCACAGTCTGGGGTTCGAGCCCCATGTCAGGCTCTGTGCTAACAGCTCAGAGCCTGGAGCCTGCTTCACATTCTGTGTCTCCCTCTCTCTCTCTCTCTCTCTCTCTCTCTGACCCTCCCCACTCATGCTCTGTCTCTCTCAAAAATAAACATTAAAAAAAAAAAACCCTATACCTTCTTTCCCATTACTGCTCTGTTAATCTGTCCTTTACTATGAGAGAGAACGTTCTGACATCACTGAGTGGTGGCTCTGGGAATCAGGGTTTGGATTTCATGGTCTCACTTTTACTTCCCAAGCCTCATGGGAGGTACTGTCAAAATATGTAACCAAGAGAGGTGACAGAGGCAAAACCCTTTGGTGGCACTCCGTTAGCCAAAGTCACATATTCCCATGGTTTAAACTCAGATGCTTGAAAAATTCTTATTTGTCTGGTCTTTTTCTTCCCTCCAACGTGCAGTATAAAACCAAGCGTGAAGAAGTGAGTACCCCCAGTGAGCCCGCGATGAACGTGACGCAGCCATCTGTCACAGCCATCATGACAGCTGCCATTTCCAAGGTACCTTGTTGCCCCCCCTTCCCCGCTAGGAAGGGGCTGAGTCACAAGCAAGCAGGAGACAGAAATACAGTCAGTCCTCATTACCTGCAACTTCATCTACTCGCTAAAACGTGTTTGCAGATCCCGAATCAACACTATGCTCTCACTTGCAGACACACACAGCAGTGAAAAGTTTAAGTCGCCCATGGCACACATGCCCCTCGGGCTGGACAAGGCTAAGCCCTGCCTCCTCCTCCTCTTGTATTTTTTTTAAGTAGGCTCCAAGCCCACTGTGGGGCTTGAACTCACAACCCTGAAATCAAGAGCCACATCCTCTACCAACGGAGCCATCCAGGGCTCCCCAAGCTGTGCCTTCTTGTTTCAGCTCTTATTGTAAACAAGTGTCCTTTTAGTAGCATGTTTATGCCACACTCTTCATGTTTCTGTGCTTTATCATGGTGATTTTACTGTGTAAAACGTCCCCCAATGATAATGCTGGTGTTGTCTGTGGTTCTCAGGGCAGGACGGCTATAGTGTCCAGTGTGGAAAATATACGTGTATTAGATCAGCTTCGTTCAGGCTGAGTGTGTCGGTTGGGAGTTAAGTGCTAATCACTCAGTAATACACATCAAATATTTTTGAACAGAAACACACCTAAAGCAGGGTCATATGCTGGGTTATTTGATGAAAATGTTGTGGACCCTGGTCCCCCGGAACCTGACCCAGTATTTCCCCTGGGCACAGGGATTCAGCATTTGCTAACTCTGTTGGTGGCTGGCCGCCCTGTAAAACGTAGCCAGCAAGCGTTGAGAGAAGCGGCTGGGCCGCGCGAGGAGAGGGCGAGCCCCGTTGGCTCTGTGATGGCCGCCGCTCCGTTGAATTGAGGTGGGCACCTCTTGCTCTAGAGTTGCAAGACCACCTCAGTATGGAATGCGGGCCTCCTTGCTTCTCTGAAACTCTCTGCCCAGACGTGGTTCAGGGTCCGGAGTTTTTCGCTCGGGACGGGCCACGTGGTACAGGCCCTGTACGTCACGCAGCGCAGCTCGGCGGGGGAGCCGCCCTCCAGGACAGAGGGCAGCGGCACTCCGGCGGGCTCACCGGTGCCGCCACGGACAGAGGAATGAAGATGGGCCGCCTCCTCCCAGGAGTTCGCCATCCCCTCGTCCATAAAGTCCACGGGCTTTGAGAGCTGCTGGCCTTTCGGCCTTGGAGACAAGACTGTGTGGGCCTCGAGCAGCCCATCTGTAGTCCTAGAGAACGTCTCTGCTGAAGGTTCTCTGCCTCCACACAGAAGGGAACGATTTAGGGAAAACTAAATGTTTGGTAGACTTAGGAGTTCAAATTCGATGGACCCCGGTTGGCTCCGTGGCCCATCACGGCTGGGCTCCCCGCCGGTTTCCCGGCTCCCTTCCCAGTGGCCTTTCCTCTTTCCCATCCAGACCCGCCTCAGGTGCTCCCCATTCCTGCCTGCCCACGTGGCTCCGCACACGCCCCTAAAGCACTCCACGGGCGCCAGGCCCTGCCGGGCAGTGGGCACAGTAGTACGAAGACAGACGTGGCCTGTGCCCGCCTGTGACGACTGAGGAGTACTGCCGTAGGGGAGAACAGGGTACTTGCTCGGGCGCATTCAGCACGGAGGCTTAAATTAGTTTGAGTAGGAATTCTCCAGGCAGGGCGCAGCGGCCTGCGGCGTGAGGACTTTGGCCTCTGCTCACACCGCGTTTCTGGTATTGGCCTTCGTCTCCTGGCTGCCCCTACTTACCCGTCAGGCTTAGCTTTCTCTAACCCCCAGTCAGTCTCCGCATGAGGCCTGTAACTTGTGGCTTCGCCGTGCAGTTCATTACACACCATCTTGCTATCACTGGTTTGCTCTTCTCACAGTTAATCTTGTCTCGCCAGCTGTATTTTAAGACTTCTGTGTCACCAGAGCAGTCAGCACACTCTGGCCACTCAATAAATAGGAGTTTGAGCGTAAAAACTGGTTGGCGCCCTGGTAACTTATCAGCCATGTAAACCTGGCTTGCCCCACTGGGCCATGTTATCTCCCCATGAAATCTCCGTAAAATCTCCTGCTACACCACTCAGCGGAGGTGGTGCCTCAGCATATCTCGTGCTGTTATTACTCAGCATAAGGTAACGAAATGGTTCAGAGTAGCTGCTATTTGGTTAATATTTATCTCTCTACTATCCTGGTCACCCAGGACCAGAGGCAGTAAAGAATGCTCCTGTATTTTACTATCAGGATGCAACAGAAAGTCCAGTGTCCTAAAAATGTTCACCCTGGCAAATATTTTGCAGCTCCTGCATGATTAATTCCTGTTTTTCACACAGACCCCAAATGTAGCTAGTAGTTAAGATAACCCTGAAAAGCACCTCGAATCTACAGTTCTTACTAAAACTGTAAGACATCCCAGAATAAGCCATCTTCAAAAGAAATCTTCAAGATTGGATTTTTTGAGAGGGAACAAGAAAAAAAAACCACTTTAAAGTTGGTGGAGGCATTAAAAACTTGATACATCATAGGTGGTTTGAGGTTTTGTTGTTTGTTTTTTGGTCCGCGGGTACGGTGGCCTCAGACTGGTGGATTATTAGTTTTGTAGGTGTGGCTGTTGGATCTTCCCATTTCGGGGCCTCTGCTGCCAACAGTATTATAACCATGAACCCATACATGTTCTTGGTTCTGATCCACAGAACAAAACGAAGGAATACAAAATCGTCGGCACGTATTCGGAAGGCATCAATGTCCTGGGCTTGATTGTCTTCTGCCTCGTCTTCGGACTTGTCATTGGGAAAATGGGCGAAAAAGGACAGATTCTGGTGGATTTCTTCAATGCTCTGAGCGATGCAACCATGAAAATCGTCCAAATCATTATGTGGTGAGCAGATGCCCGTTCGTGCCAGCCTGCCTCTCCTGACAGTTGTCCCCTCAAAATGGGAGTAAAGAAGCCCAGGAAGAGCAAACACAGAGTAGGAAGACACGGGAGGATTCAGTGATTGTGCATATTCCTTAGGAGTTCGTTCACTGGCAGGAATCTGGGTTTTAGCTGTTGTCTTTTCTACCAAAGCCCTTGTCATTTTATACCCAGCCAGCATTTGTCTAAGAAATCACTTTTTTAATTTTTTTTAAAACATTTATTTATTATTGAGAGACAGAGAGCATGAGCATGGGAGGGGCAGAGAGAGAGAGACACAGAATCACCCTCCAGGCTCTGAGCTGTCATTACAGATCCCGGCATGGGGCTCAAACCCACAAACCATGAGATCATGACCTAAGCTGCAGTTGGACGCTTAACCGACTGAGCCACAGAGGTGCCCTGAAATAACTTTTTTTTTTAAATGTATTTATTTTGAGAGAGAGGGGGGTGGGGAAGGGGGCTAGAGTAGAGAGAGAATCTCAAGCAGGTTCCATGCTGTCAGCACAGAGCCCCACATGGGGCTCAAACTCAAGAACTGTGAGATCATGACCTGAGCTGAAATTAAGTCAGATGCTTAACTGACTGAGCCACCCAGGCGCCCCTCTAAGAAATAACTCTTAAATTAAAGATTTGAGGGGCACCTGGGTGGCTCAGTCAGTTAAGCGCCCCACTTCAGCTCAGGTCATGATCTCACAGTTTGTGGGTTCAAGCCCCACATTGTGTTCTGTGCTGACAGCTCAGAGCCTGGAGCCTGCTTCAGACTCTGTGTCTCCCTCTCTCTGACCCTGCCCCCCTCATGCTCTGTATCTCTCTCTCTCTCTCAAGAATAAATAAACATTGGGATGAGCACTGGGTGTTATTATAGAAACCAACTTGACAATAAACTATGAAAGAAAAAAATTTTCTTTTATTAAAGATTTGAAAGGGTTATTTGCACATCACAACACAAGGTATTCCCTTGTTAGGCCCAGCGCATGAGTGATATTCACAATTCTTGCAGCTGGTAATGCACGGGCCCTGATACATCCAGGTGAAAACTACACATGGGTGAGCAGACTGGTGGCGCCACCCTGCCCCCAGAGATGCCAAAAAGCCCGCCTTCTCTAGGTGACCCTGCCCCACGTGTATAGAGTCGGTTCAACATTATGTACTCTAGAATGTAGGCAGTGAAGGTGACTCAAAGGGTTTGGTGACTTCAGCCGCTTCCTACTGCTGAACCTCACCTTCACCACCTGTGAAACAGGATAATAAAGATCTGCCCCTACAGTTGGGAGAAGTACATTAAGGGAAATGATGCACGTTAGATACTTAACCCAACACAAGGCACGTCAGGAGGGCTGCACACACAGGGCTCTGTGACCACTTCCACCGCTAATTGTATTGCTCTGTGGCGGACACCACCGCCTGGGGAACAAGATGACTGAGGCTAGGAAGAGCACAGGGGCCACATACGGAGGGTCAAGCAAGATGAGCTCTGCCGAAGTGACCATCAGCAGTAGATGCGCGACCTGGGAGCGAGGTGTGGGATATGAACCCGTTTGCCTGCGCGTTCTCGCCCAGTCTGCCCATCTAGGGTAGCTCAGGTGGATCTGAGATGTGCTAACGCCTGGTGCCTGTGGTCCACCAGGGCCCGAGGCTGCAACATTGGCTTTCCTGTGCAGCAGGCGCGCCCTCAGCCGAGCACACGTGCCCTGGCTCGCGCCCTCCCCGGCGATCCCACCTCAAGAAGCCACCAGATAACGGAGGCTGTTTGTTGTGCTTGCTTTCCAGTTACATGCCGCTTGGCATCTTGTTCCTGATTGCCGGCAAGATCATAGAAGTGGAAGACTGGGAGATATTCCGCAAGCTGGGCCTTTACATGGCCACCGTCCTGAGCGGGTACGGCAGACTCAGGAGAGGAGGCAGCAACCTCTGGGCCGGCGGATTGCCACCGAGAAGCTGCCTTTCGGCTAAGACGGGCTTCACCCACACAGGGAAATACGGGGTTCAGAGATGAGCGAGCAGGGGGAGGAGGGCAGCCTGTGACCAGCTGCACTGGAGGAGGGTCCCACTGCACTAATTGCCGGATGCCGGCAGAAGTGCCTGACCGCGGTTCATTGCTGCCTTTACTAGTTGTGTTAAAATCATTTTTTAGAGTGAGCAGACCCCAACTGGTAGCCTCTCCTGGGATTTGCTTCAAGGATGGAAACTCACCAGACTAGTAGGAATAGCCCACAGGTACCCCAACCCCAAGAAAGAAATTAGGCAGGGTCTGGGTGAAAAAGATTTGAGCCAGTCCGAGAGGACAGCTGGGTGGTCCCGGCCCTGCAGGCAAGGCCTGAACCAGGGCCGCAGCCTGCATCGCCCAAGGGTCAGGGAGCATGCTGGGAAACTCATCCAGCGGGGAGGTACGGTGTAAGAGCTAGAAGGCAGCAGGGGACAGGTCGTTTGCATATTTAATGCAGCCCAGTCTTGGCTCCTTAAGGGGAGGTGTGGTGGATAAGTTAGGCATGGTGGCCCCAGATACCAAGCAGGGGCAGCATTCGTCACAGGTATTAAGAAACATGGACCAAGGGAATGAGTAGATATCATCATTTGACTCCCACAGGTCAGTGGCCCCCAGACACCCAACATGAGCAGCGAGCTCACCCGTTGGAACTCAGGTGCACTGGGGAGTTCAGCTGTGTTTACCACAAGTACAGCCGTGCCAGGCAGCAGCCGGGGCTCCTCCAGTGTGGGGGCCACTGTCAAATCCCAGGGTCCCGGTGGGGAAGAACCAGGGCTGTCTACCCTTCTCAAGGCCAGGGCCTATGTCCAAGCAGTCATTTCCTAACACAGTTCTGCTGATTTCTCTTCTCTTGCCCTACCTTGGTTTCTAGAAGAAAACTCAGCTTCTCAATAGTTCTTGGCCACAGGCTCTATGTGAAGACCGTCAAGATGAACCTTCAGGATCTGTGTTTACAACGATCCTTTCTTATTGTTTCAGCTTTGAATAACTGATGACATCTGCTGGCTTGGTCTCATTTTTTTAAGCCCCCTGTTTTGGGTAATCTGTGTTTCTCTGTGTGAAATGAGGAATAGTTTTGGAAGGCAAGACTAACCAAGAAAAGAGGGTCAGTCCTGAAGTGTGACTGGAGGAGAGCAGGGACTTCCTCCTTACCACCCCCTGCCTGGCCTCTTAGATGGTGGGCACCATCCAGCAGGACAGCAGTGTGGTCCAGGGAACGGAGGGGCTGGGTGCTGATAGGGGTGTATGGTAGAGGTTTGTGCAGAGCCACAGACCTACCAAGGAGGAAGGGGTCTGCCCAACCTGGGAGGGTGAAGGAAGGCTTCTTGGAGGGGGAGGACCTTTTGCTGAGTCTTAGAGGAGGGGTAAGAATTCAGCAGCAGCAGCAGGTGACGACATTTTAGCACCTGTTGCACAAGTAGCATGCACAAGGCCTGACGGCATGAGGTGAGTGTTCTGTGAGCTCTGAAATGTGAATTCAGTACTGGCTTCCCCACGGACTCTGACAAGATACTTCGTTTTTCTAAGTGAGTCTCCGCATCCCCATTGGTGGAATGGAGACACCTGTCCCTGCCCGCCCTCTCATTTTCTTTTGGGTCATAATGAAAATCAAATGATAGATCATGAGTAAAACAGCTGTTTGGAAAAAAGGATTAATCGGAGGAGGGGTGTCATCTATGAACGTGCTTTTTCTCCATCTTGTTTCCAGGCTGGCGATCCACTCCATTGTCATTCTCCCGCTGATTTATTTCATAGTCGTACGGAAGAACCCTTTCCGGTTCGCCATGGGAATGGCCCAGGCTCTTCTGACGGCTCTCATGATCTCTTCCAGGTAAATGCAGGAGGGGTGTCTGGAAGAAGTCTCTGTCAGCTCTTACTGGCTGCGGCTGAGAGCCGTGGCTAGCTTTAACTCCAGGAGGGACCTCTGTATTCCCCCCCACACCCCCCGCCATGTCGCCCTGCTGGATATTTCCTCACCATGGCCTGCAGCCCAGAAAGGGGTTGTGGTGGGCCCTATAGAATGGGGGACACGGCGCCTCCTCACTCCTGGACCTGCAGGCTGCCAGCATGCTTTGGGCTCTTGGTTTAGTTTGGGGAATAGAAGCATCTCTCTTGGCAACGATTGAGCACTGGAGTAAGTTCCTTTCTCTTTAATTTTTTTTAATGTTTATTTTTGAGAGAGACAGGAAGAGAGACAGAGTGTGAATCGGGGAGGGGCAGAGAGACAGGGAGACACAGAAGCTGAAGCAGGCTCCAGGCTCTGAGCTGTCAGCACAGAGCCCGACGCAGGGCCTGAACCCACGAACTGTGAGATCAGGACCTGGGCCAAAGTGGGACGGTTAACCGGCTGAGCCCCCAGGCACCCCCCCCCCCTTCCTTTATCACCCAGTTCGGCCACACTGCCTGTCACTTTCCGCTGTGCCGAAGAGAAGAACCGGGTGGACAAGAGGATCACGAGGTTTGTGCTGCCCGTCGGTGCCACCATCAACATGGAAGGGACTGCGCTCTACGAGGCAGTGGCGGCCGTGTTTATCGCACAGTTGAATGACCTGGACTTGGGCATTGGGCAGATCATCACTATCAGGTAGGGTGTGAGGCCACACTCATTTTCATTTCTTTTACTGGAATTGTGCCAAGTGAAACGCCTCGGAAGGGAGCTCACAAATGGTCCACTGGTGGATTGACTTTTTTGGTCTAAAGCCCCTTCCCAAGATCTAAACACAACTTTGTTACCAGAAGTGGAATTACGGTGTATAAGATTTCTGCTTCGGAGTCTGAATACCCAGAGGTATCACTGTGTTCAGTTCAGTGCATCTGCTAGGTGCTAGGCACACAGTAGGTGCCAGGGATTCAAGATGGAATAAGGGCCAGGCCCTGCTTTAAGGGAGGCCCCAGTAGGCGGGGGGTACAAATATCTAAATAAATGCTGAGTGGTGTGATACAGGCTATAAGTGGAGGTGTGAGAGGACACAGAAGGCCCCAAAGAAGGAAGGTGAGAGGAGGCTTTCCGGAAGAGGACAAAGTTTAGCTAAGTCTTAGGAGAGGAGTAAGAATTTAGTAGGAGAGGAAGGAACCTAAGAGCACTTGGGATAAAAGGACAAGCACGTACAAGGGTTAGATTATCGGATGCAGAGGTCTCGTTACAGAGGTCAGATTATCGGATGCAGCTGCATAAGGAGTACAGCCTGGAGAACATAGAGAAACGAGCGGACAGGGATCATCTCATGAAAGGCTTTGTAAGAGGCACTCATGGAGGGGTTAGATGATCTTTCATAATATGGACAGATGTGCATTTTTAAAAGGTAACTTGGCAATATGGCGGGTGGACGGGATGGGGACAGGAGCGGAAGCTAGGAGATTACTGCAGAAATCCAACTAAGGAATTACAAGGCCTCCATCAAGGCACTGGGGGTGGAGGAGGCCTTCCAAATTTCAAGAGGCGTCAGCTGGATTCAGAGTGAGGGACAGGGAAGGTTAAGGCGACCTCCAGGGTTGGTAGATGGTTCTGGACTAATGAATGGTGCTAACCAGAACAAGTACTAGTGGAAGAGAAGCATTGGTGGGAAGATAAAGAGCTCACGCTGTTGATCACGTTGAATTTGAAATGCCTTTAAGACATCCAGGTAGAACTCTGTGGTGAAAAATGTGTTCTTGACTGCAGGTAAGGAAGTAGGACTCATCAGCAAGAGGTGGTCACCACGTACATGGGTCCCGATTGAGTCACTCATCTGTGTTTGAGTCTCAGCTTCACCATGATTAGCTGTGACTTTGGCCAAGTTATTCTAAGCTTCTGTTTCCTCACCTATAAAATGAGGATAGTAACAGTACCTACATTTTATGCAAGTGGTGGTAATTAAGTCTGTGCATACAAAATGCTTAGAACGCTGTATACATAGTGAGCCCTCAGGAGATGTTGAGAATGTTAGGACAGCAATACACAGGGAGGGTTTGTGCAGAAAAGAAAAAGACTAAGGACTGAGCCCAGGAAATCCTTGTATGAGAGGCAGGCAGAAAGGGGAGAACCAGGAGGGAGACCAAGAAGGAACAGAAAGGTAGGACAAGAGCCACAAAAACATCATGGCCCGGAAACCTAGAGAAGAGACACTTCCAAGGATGACATGTTCAACAGAGTCCAATACTGCAGAGGATGCTACTCAAGTGAAGACTGAAATTGTCTGCTCAAGTAGATGCTGAACATGCCACTCCTGAATCTTTCCATTGTTAGTTCTCCAGAACAACACTGTTGAAGATGGTAGCCACAGACACAGAAGGTTCCATCATTATAAAAATAAGTTCCACCATTATGGGAAATTCTGCTGGACCTCACAGCATGGAAGGAATGGATTGGGTTGAAAGTTAATCCGGAGACTTCTGTTTAGTACAGAGTGGAAGTTTACCACTAAACCAGATCCCTAGGCCTCTGCCAGGTTGACTCTGAGCTTTCCAAGTTAACTTAACTGTTGCAACCCCAGCACGTGGCACAGGCATAAACTCCAGGCATAAAGTAAGTTCCAACAATGTTCTAATACAGTATATATATTTTTTAATTTTTTTTTTTTATTTTTAAGAGAGAGACACAGTGTGAGCAAGGGAGGGGCAGAGAGAGAGGGAGACACAGAATCAGAAGCAGGCTCCAGGCTCTGAGCTATCAGCAGAGAGACTGATGTGGGGCTCAAACCCATTAACTACGCGATCATGACCTGGACCTGTGGAACCCAATCTGCACTGGACTGACTTCCAATGAGTGGTTGCAATGTGGCGCCCATTCTTATGGGTATTTGCCACTTTGTGATAAAGTCCACGCACCCCCAATCTTAACTTTCCTAGATTTTTCTAACCCTTTTTTTTTTTAACCTGACTGCTAGAGAAATATACTCTGGGCCTAGAGGCTAACTAATTCCTATCAAACCCCGTCCCTCTGCTCTAGTGTTGTGTGTGGGTTTTTCTATACCCAATGTGGGGCTTGAATTCACGACCCCCCGAGATCAAGAGTCCCACGCTCCACTGACTGAGCCAGCCCGGTGCTCCCTGTATTCCTCAGTCAAAACTGCCAATAAGTAACTGCTGGCCCATAGCCAACAACCACAGCTGTGAAGCCCAGAGTAATCACTGACCTAAAATTTGAAACCCTCTCTGGCTCTGCCTAGGACAGAATGAAATAATAAACGTGATTTTTCCCTTGACAAGTTACAGTTGTGGCTCACGTGACTGATGGTTAGAGAGACCCCATAGTTCATCACTTTCCGTGGTCCTTTCGGGCTGGACATCAAAGAAACATAGGCACCATCCACCCAATAAAAACCCTTTTGTGGTTTTATCATAGTATTCACTAATCAGAGGTTACAACTGATTGAAGATGGGGTAAATATTCTTACAATTGAAGATAATTACTGGATTTGGGGTCTCCAAATAGCTTAGAGGAGAAAAGGAGGCATACTGGCAATTTTTTTAAAAATTATTTTAGAGAGAGGAAGGAGACAGACAGAGAGAGAGAGAATCCCAAGCAGGCTCCACACTCAGCATGGAGCCCAGTCCCACAAACCTGGGATCATGACCTGAGCTGGGAAACCAAGAGTTGGACACTCAACTGACCGAGCCGCCCAGGCTCCCCAGAGAAGGTATCAGTTTATAAGCATCCACTGTGTCCTGGTGCTTTACTGGACGCCCTCCCTATATTACTCCATTTAATCTTCGTGGAGCCTGCGAGGGAGACATAATCTCCCTGTCCTCCAGGCAAGAGCTGAGATCCAGAGGGAAGTTGCCTAAGGACATGCTGTTACTGAAAACAGCAGAGGCAGGTCTTTTTGTTGTTGTTTTTTAATTTTTTTTTAATTTTTTTAATGTATGTTTATTTTTGAAAGAGAGACAGAGCATGAGCAAGGGAGGGACAGGAGAGAGGGAGACAGAGAATCCGAAGCAGGCTCCAGACTCAGCTGTCAGCACAGAGCTCAACATGGGGCTTGAACTCATAAACCATGAGATGCTGAACTAAGCCAAAGTCAGACGCTTAAATGACTGAGCCACCAGGCACCCCTAATGTTTATTTGGGGGGGGTGGATGAGCAAGGGGGAAGGGCAGAGTGCGGGGGTGGAGAATCTCAAGCAGGCTCTAAACTGTCAGCACAGAGCTCAAAGTGGAGCTCAAACCCATAAGCCAGAAGATCGTGACCTGAGCCGAAGTCAGATGCTCAACTGACTGAGCCACCAGGTTCCCCAGAGCCAGGTCTTCCTGACGCTAAAATGCGTGCTGGATTCAGTTCACACCCCAGGCCTAGCCTGCTTAGAGCTAAGTGCCGGTCTAAATCCTAGATCAATGCTAGAAAAGTACTTTCGAATGATGATTACTGTGTGTTCTTCTATGAAAACCCTCTGAACTCAAAGTAGAATATGTTCAAGCAGAAGGAATAAGTTTTTATTATTTTTCCCCCATTTGAAGATGTATAGTTCCCAGTCTCAGACCAAAGCCAAGTCAAATGGCTGAAGTTTAGGAAGCTAGCTCAAGGCTCAAGGACAGAGTTTTTGACAAGATAGATTTTGAGTTTTGAGGCCAGCTACAGGCTACAGGGATGTGGTAAACCATGGTGTGTTGGGACTTCCAAAAAGGATCAATGGGTATGGGCACAAATCACTTCTGGTAAAGAAAACCCACTGATGTATTCAGTTTAAATTTTTTCAACTAGTATTGACATAAACTTAGGTTCTCCAAAGAGTACTTAAGTCAGAAAAGATGTAAAGGATGATGTACGCCTGAAACTTACAAAGGAATTGGGACCGCCCCAGAAATCTCTAATTTACTGTAAATTGGTGGCCACAGCCACTGGAAGAAAGCACACTTGTCAACGAATGCTGGCCTGTGTTTGACCTTACCCTCGAACGCCATCTACAGCACATCACTGGGCAGGTGAATGAGTCATGGAGTCAGCTCCATAAGAATTCTGAGGCTTTTTACTGCACGGATTGAAGAGGCAGAGAGGAGAATATGTGAATTAGAAGATACAGTTATAGAAAAAGAGAGATAAACTGATCCAGGAGCACTAAAGGAGAATTCGAGAACTGAGTGACGCAATCAAATGGAACAATATCCCTATCATAGGAATTCCAAAAGAAGAAGAAGAAGAGAGAGAAAGGGGCTGCAGGAGTACCTAAACAAATCATAGCCGAGAACTTCTCCAATCTGGGGCAAGAAACAGACACTGAAATCCAAGAGGCACAGAGAACTCCCCTCAGACATAACTTGAATCGATCTTCTGCACAACATATCATAGTGAAACTGGCAAAATATAAGGGTAAAGATAGAATTCTGAAAGCAGCTAGGGATAAATGGGCCTTAACATACAAAGGTAGACACCTAAGGGTAGTAGCAGACCTATCTACTGAAACTTAGCAGGCCAGAGGTAGTAGCAGACCTATCTACTGAAACTTAGCAGGCCAGAAAGGAATGGCAGGAAATCTTCAATGTGATGAACAGGAAAAATAGGCAGCCAAGAATCCTTTATCCAGCAAGCCCGACATTCAGAATAGGAGAGATAAAGGTTTTCCCAAACAAAAATTGAAGGAATTCATCTCCACTAAACCAGTCCTATTA